TTACGTTTAGCCGACACACACACGTGGTTACGTTTAGCCAACACACACACGTGGTTACGTTTAGCCAACACATACACGTGGTTACGTTTAGCCAACACACACACGTGCTTACTTTTAGCCGACACACACACGTGGTTACGTTTAGCCAACACACACACGTGGTTACGTTTAGCCAACACATACACGTGGTTACGTTTAGCCAACACACACACACACACACACGTGGTTACATTTAGCCAACACACACAGATCCGTCCTGCAGCGCCACCCTCAGGTGTTCAGACTCTAACAGGAGATAAATGATCAGGATGTTTTGTTGTTGCAGGTTCAGGTGATAGGAAAGAGACGCTCAGTCTGCAGCAGTGTCAGCAGGTCGCTAACGAGCTGAGAGAGGCGGCGAGACGAGCCGTAGACCTCTACCAACAGGTGAACTTCCTGTCTGTCTGAACGAGGGTCTGCTGTTGATCTCGGGTGGTGTTTCAGAGCGGCCTCAGAGTTTGAATCCTGACTTGAATTGTGATATTTCAAAGATTTTGTAAATTTCAAGATATTTATCGCTTCGAAGGCTTTTCAAGTAAAAAAAACCTCAGTATTTACGAAAACAAAATGTTTCCAGGAAAATTTTTAACAAGGTAAAAAAAATTAAGTTACACTAAGTAACACTGATGAAGAAAAGTTGGTGTTGAGAGACGATTAAAAGAAAGTTTGAATGTTTTGAGATAAATTTGTAAATTCTAGAAACCTGTGATGTTATAAAAAAAAAAAGAGCGAATGTTTTGAGGAAAAAAAAGTGAAATGTTTTGGGATTTTTTATTTTTGATATTTTGAGGTAAAAGTTTTAGAATTTCAAGATGAGATGTCGTAGGAATAATTTCCTAAATTTCCTAGAATTTTTTTAACAGTTTGATGAAAAATTTTGAAAGATTTTGAGAGTTTGTTTAAAAAAAAGTGTGCGGGGAAATTCAAGCGTCAACAGAATAATTAAAACCGATGCATCGACAAGTGACTTTCAAAAACGTAAACGATAAACTTAAATGAAAGGTCCTGAATAAGAGATAAACCAACACAAATAATAATGCTTTTTTTTTTAAAATTACGTTTGATTCAAATTAAATAATTAAATAGGACGTAAACGCAGTTGTAATTTCAGCTTTTTAAATCTAAATATGATTCTGTGTCCCTCCCGCAGCTCAGCGTGTCGGCCGGTGCTTCGGAGCAGCATCTTCAGATGTCGTCCATCCTGCAGGGAGCGTTTGATGTTGTTCACTCTGAGCTGCAGGCGGTGCTGCCGGGAGGAGACGGGTGGGGCAGCAGCGCCCCCTCTGGTTGACTGGAGGACGAGGTGTCTGCTGAGGGAATACCCTGATCTGCCGGTCCAGTTTACCCAAAACAAACTGAACCGGATCTGAACCAGGATCAGTCACTCCGCTGCTGTCGGTACGGAGGCTGAAAGGGGACAAATTTCACTTCACCATCAGCCCCAGTGACTTTATCAACATCAGTATTAAATTTAATGCACCTTATGTTTGTTTATGTGGCAGCAAAATGTGTTTTTGACCACGATCACTGTTTGTACATAAAGTGTAATTTTATGTTTCTATATAATAAATGTTTGTGTTTTACAGAGCTTAATATTTTTTATTTCTATTTATTTTTTCAGCTGAAAATAGAACAGAGTGATTTAATTCCACTCAAAAACAACCTAAATTTAACACTGTCAAGAAGTCAAATATCTCAAGTACAGAACGTGATAAGAAAAGCTGGAATATTACTAGAAATAAAAGAATAAAACAATCTTTTTCAGGAAAAAAGTTGGTATATCCCACAAAACACAAGGAATAAAAGAGGGAATATTACAAGGAAAAAAAGTCAAAATATTTTGAGAAAAATAGTCTTAACGTTATCAGGATAAAAGCTGAAGAAATTTCAGAAAGTCCAAATATTTTTAAGGAAGTCAGAATATTATGAAGATAAACAGTTAACATTTTGAGATTTAAAAAAATCAGATTCAGTTAACAGACGAATACTAAAGAGAAAATATTTACCTCCTGATTTTGACTCTAAACATTTATATTTGAGTTCAGAGCTTCTTGTTTCTGCGACACGCTGAGTTATAACGAGACATTTTGTGTTTCTGAGATGTTTTTAAAAGACGGCAGCACGGACTGTAAAAATCACAGTTATGTTTGTTTTATTAATAATAAGAAAATACGTCACAACAGTCTTTACACAGTGACGTCATGTTTCAGGACTCCTCCTGTCCAACATCACATAAAGATAGAAACATTTTAACAGGTGAGTCCTGGTGGGGGCGTGTCTTGTAGGGGGCGTGTCTTGTAGGGGGCGTTTGTTCTTTGTGTCTCGAGTCAAAACAGGAAGAGCAGAGGGCGGGCGGTGATTGGCTGAGAGGACCGGCAGCAGGCTCCTCGGCCCCGCCCCCTTCACGGTGACGAATCTTTTGAGGAAAAAAGTTCAAAACAACGGAACAAACAAGAACACCACAGAAGAAGAACCGACAACATTCGGAGCTTCATCACGGAGCCGTCTGTGACTCCGGGCCGGCCTGGGAGCGTCTGTCCGCGGGGACACAGCGTGAGGCAGCCCGGGTTGTGAGCAGCATCATGGCCGCTGTCACCGTCATCACGGATCCAGCCGCGGTGTCGCAGCGCGGCGGCCGAGTCGCGGCTCCGGGACGCGGCGGCAGATCGGCGGAGACCTGGAAGAGACACATCATGGGTCAGCTGAAGAGCCGAGACCTGAGCCAGCACGACAAGTTCCAGGACCTGATCCGCTTCTGTATGACCGACAAGTACCGATTTATGTGTCTTTGAAGCGGCTGCAGAGGAGTTGGTGTTGCTCACTGTGTGTCCCAAAGCTGCACCAGACTCCATTTAGAAATCTGTCGACTTAAGAGCTGCGCAGCCTCAGTGCTGACGAAGGCTCAAACCATCCAACTAAAATCTGCTGTTTTCTAAATGGAGTTTGGTCCAGAGGGACCTGTCCTGAGTCAGAGCTGGTGAACAGAGCGACATGTCCCAGAGTTGTTTCAGGGAACTAAAGACAGGAATTAAATCTGTTCATTGAATCAAACTCGCGAGGTTAAAGTGTTTAAAAGTCCCCTCTGACGTCACAGCTGTAAGAGACACACTCAGATGATGAGACAGTCTGTCCCGAGCTGAGACACAGCTGACGAGTCTCTTGTTCCTTTATTGTGTCGGACAGGAAGGTGTCAGAGTAACTGAACCACATGTTGTTCCACTTCCTCCGCTCACTGACTCATCTGTGACAGGTCGTCATGCTCACAGTGTTCATGATGAACACATGAGATTCATTCTGTTGTTGTCAGTGTGGAAAATAACAAAGTGTCCCTGATGTTCCCACAGACGCAGGACACAGAAATAAAATCCACAAAGAAGCTAAAATAATCTTTCTCACTTTTGTTTTATGTCTGTGTGACAAAACTGTGGACGGAAAGAATTACAGCTCTGTATTTTCTGTTTTATTATTTAAAACATGTTTCCAAATGTCGCCATATTTCTCGGAAACAATCGGAATACTTTGAGAAAACAACGGGAATATCACGAGGAGTGGGTTTTTGTATTTGAGGTTTCTTTCATTAGCGCTGTAGCTAAGCTGACATGTAAAATAAGGACCCTGCTGGTTGTTTAGCTCCTCCCCTCTCCAGGTGTTTAGCCCCTCCCCTCTCCAGGTGTTGTTACCTGTGACTGTTTCCTCCTGACTCTTTCAGACACGCAGCTGTTGGAGAAAACCAGTCTGGCCAAAGGAATGCTGAGCTGCTCCGTCAGGTAACTCACCTGCTGTCACACCTGGAGACACCTGACCTCTGACACAGACAGATTCACTGTGTGTGGGTGTGATGATGATGATGATGATGATGATGATGATGAGGGTGTGTTTGTTTTGTGCACCCAGATGTCCCTCCCCTGGTAGCAGCTCCATCTCCGCTCTGCTTCACCAGAACAACCAGCTGAAGAAGACGACAGGAGAGGTAACACACACACACACACACACACACACACACACACACACACACACACACACACACACAGAGTCGTATCAGAGTCACGTGGACATGTTTCTACTTCCTGTTTCAGCTGGCCTATCAGGTGGTGGAGCTGCAGCAGCAGATTAAAATCAAAGAATGTGTTCTGCAGCAGCAACATGCCAGGTGAGTCACCGTGGATCCTCGCAGCTGATTGGTCCAAACTAAGCAGGTGAACGTGTGAAGTGTTCCTTTTACTCGGCTCCACATCAGACTCTGACGGAACAGATTTCATTCATGGAAAATTACCCTAAAATATTCCAGCTCTTCTCAGTGACAGTCGCACACAGAGTTTGAAGCCAAAGTTCACAGCAACATCCCAAATATTCCCAAATATTCCCAAATATTCCTAAATTGTTTTACACATAATTTTTCTTTGGTTTCTCAAAAAGTTACAACTTTTCTCATGTAATTCCTCAGTATTCCAACTTTTTTTTAAAAAAAAAACAATATTCTGATGATTCTAAGTATCCGTTTATATTCCCAAATATTCCAACCACTTTTTCTGTCAAAATGTTTTCTTTCTTCTCTAAATATTCCAAGTTTTTAATTAAATGACTTTTTTCCCTGAAATATTCCAGACGTTTTTGTGAAAATATTTCAGCTTTTTGTTTTTATTTTTCTAAAACATATATTGGGGTTTTATTTCTGAAATATTCAGACTGTTCCTTCTGGAAATATTCCAGTTTTTTTATGACTTTTTTTTTAAAAATATTTCAACTCTTGTTTCAAATTATTCCCAAATATTCCAACCCATTTTTTCAGAATACCTCTTTATTTAAATGTTCTAACCTTTTTTTCTGAAAATATTCCAAACTTTTGTTCTTAAAATGTTCGTACTTTTCATTTTACACTTTACATTCATTCCAGTCTCTTTGCCAAATGTTCCAACTTCTTTTTGAAAAATATAATTTTTTCTCCCCCCAAAAAGGAAAAACTTTGTTTCCCGAAATATTCTATGTTTTCTGGAAATATTCAGTATTATTAATTACTTTTTATTAAAATATTTCAACTCTTGTTTCAAAGTATTCCTAAATATTCCAACATTTTTGTTTATAATATTCCATACCTTCTCTTCAAATCTTTTCTGTCAAAATAGTCCCAAATATTCCGACCCTCTCTCAAGGTATTGTCTTATTTCCACAGTACAATCCTAAATATTAAGACTTTTTTTTCTCAATAATTTTTCTGACTTTCTTCCTCCAGATTTTGCATCCTCAGAATATTTTCAAATATTTTGACCTTTTCTTTTTCTTCTTTTTTCCACCAAATATTTCAATCTTTTCTCAAAATATTCCCACTTTTGTTTCCCAGAAATATTCCAGCCATTTTTCTTTTTTCTAAAGATATTTAGACCTTTTATTCCAGAAATATTCCGACTGTTTTTTTTATAAAAAATATTTTAAGCTCTTTTCTGTCTATTTCAACTTTGGTTTCAAAATATTCCCACATATTCCAATCTGTTTCTGGAAATATTCCAACTTTTTAAGACGATTTCATCAAATATTCAGATGATTATCGTTACAAAATATTTCAATGTGGTCCTCAGAATATTCCAACTTGTTTTTGTAGAAACAACTGTTTAATCGTAATATTGGGAGCGTTCTCTCTGACACTCAGACGGAGTCTTTTCTTCACGTTCCTGATTTTTTCCCTGTGCTAGATTCTGAAACATGTTTTAAACGTTGTGTTTCATGAGCAGAGACAGTCTAAGTGTCATTAATGTGAACTGGCCCTTTAACACTGTTGATGATGACATCACTGTAATCAGACTGTCGGCGGAGGAGCGTCGGCTGGCGGGTGCGTTGGATGCCCGTCAGGAGCTGCAGGTGCGGGTGGAGCAGGTTCAGGAGGAGAACGGGGTGTTGAAGACGGCGTACGACACCCTGCTGCAGCGACAGAGAGGGGCGGAGCAGAGACTCCGAGAGGAGAAGGTCAGAGGGGGACACCTGCTGGAGGACATGATCCACCTGAAACAACAAGCCGCTGCCCGCATGAACAGCCGCAACGAACGCAGGTCCAGGTACATGAACGCACCTCACACACCTGAGAACACATCACACACCTGAGAACACTTCACACACCTGAACACACCTCACACACCTGAACGACCTCACACACCTGAACGACCTCACACACCTGAGAACACATCACACACCTGAACGACCTCACACACCTGAACGACCTCACACACCTGAGAACACTTCACACACCTGAGAACACCTCACACACCTGAGAACACCTCACACACCTGAACACACCTCACACACCTGAGAACACCTCACACACCTGAACACACCTCACACACCTGAGAACACCTCACACACCTGAACACACCTCACACACCTGAGAACACCTCACACACCTGAACACACCTCACACACCTGAGAACACCTCACACACCTGAACACACCTCACACACCTGAGAACACCTCACACACCTGAACACACCTCACACACCTGAGAACACCTCACACACCTGAACACACCTCACACACCTGAGAACACCTCACACACCTGAACACACCTCACACACCTGAGAACACCTCACACACCTGAACACACCTCACACACCTGAGAACACCTCACACACCTGAACACACCTCACACACCTGAGAACACATCACACACCTGAACACACCTCACACACCTGAGAACACCTCACACACCTGAACACACCTCACACACCTGAGAACACCTCACACACCTGAACACACCTCACACACCTGAGAACACCTCACACACCTGAACACACCTCACACACCTGAGAACACCTCACACACCTGAACACACCTCACACACCTGAGAACACCTCACACACCTGAACACACCTCACACACCTGAGAACACCTCACACACCTGAACACACCTCACACACCTGAGAACACCTCACACACCTGAACACACCTCACACACCTGAGAACACCTCACACACCTGAACACACCTCACACACCTGAGAACACCTCACACACCTGAACACACCTCACACACCTGAGAACACCTCACACACCTGAACACACCTCACACACCTGAGAACACCTCACACACCTGAACACACCTCACACACCTGAGAACACCTCACACACCTGAACACACCTCACACACCTGAGAACACCTCACACACCTGAACACACCTCACACACCTGAGAACACCTCACACACCTGAACACACCTCACACACCTGAGAACACCTCACACACCTGAACACACCTCACACACCTGAGAACACCTCACACACCTGAACACACCTCACACACCTGAGAACACCTCACACACCTGAACACACCTCACACACCTGAGAACACCTCACACACCTGAACACACCTCACACACCTGAGAACACCTCACACACCTGAACACACCTCACACACCTGAGAACACCTCACACACCTGAACACACCTCACACACCTGAGAACACCTCACACACCTGAACACACCTCACACACCTGAGAACACCTCACACACCTGAACACACCTCACACACCTGAGAACACCTCACACACCTGAACACACCTCACACACCTGAGAACACCTCACACACCTGAACACACCTCACACACCTGAGAACACCTCACACACCTGAACACACCTCACACACCTGAGAACACCTCACACACCTGAACACACCTCACACACCTGAGAACACCTCACACACCTGAACACACCTCACACACCTGAGAACACCTCACACACCTGAACACACCTCACACACCTGAGAACACCTCACACACCTGAGAACACCTCACACACCTGAACACACCTCACACACCTGAGAACACCTCACACACCTGAAAACACCTCACACACCTGAGAACACATCACACACCTGAACACACCTCACACACCTGAGAACACATCACACACCTGAACACACCTCACACACCTGAGAACACATCACACACCTGAACGCACCTCACACACCTGAACAAACCTCACACACCTGAGAACACATCACACACCTGAGAACACATCACACACCTGAACACACCTCACACACCTGAGAACACATCACACACCTGAGAACACATCACACACCTGAACGCACCACGTCATTCTTTTAAAGTGTAACATGATGTTTATGTTTGTTTGTTTACTGTTTGTCTGTTTTTCATGTGTTTGATGAGACGAAGACAAACTTGCACTCTGACAGTAAAGTTCTGTTCTCTTCTGTTTCAGAGCACGAGAAGCGAACCTGCAGAAGGAGCTGCAGAATGCTGCGAGGTCAAAGGTCACGGTGGACAGGTCAGACTCACCTCCACCTGCCCAAAATCTCAAACATCTGCTGTTTACAAAAAACTGAAATCATGTTTTAGAAAATAGAAGTTTTAAATTTTTTTTATTGAATATTAGACGGAGAAAAATCTGAAAAAAAGACAGGTGGAATATTTTTAGGAAAAAGTTGAAATCTTTTGACGGGAAAACTTCTGAATATTTCAGAAGAAAAAGGTCAGGATATCTTAAAGTAAATAATAAATAAATAATGTATAAATAATAATAGAAGTTCAGAGAAGAGGCAGGATGAGAATTTTTCACAATATTTCAGCAGCTTCACTGAATTGAAATGTGAAGTTTTTTTATCACAGATTTGTCTGACCCGTGTGTGTCGCCTCGTACTCAAGTCGTTTGTCAACCGAAAGACTTTTGTTTTGTGTTTCAGTTGTTCGAGCGCGCCGACCTCCAGATCCACGTCTCCAAAGACCGAAAACCACCACGAGTCCACAGACAGAGGACACACCCGACTCTTCAGGTTCGTCAGGCCTCAGACACCTTTTCTTTTTATCAGATGTTACAACAGAATTATTTATTAATTAATTATTGTTATTATTGTGGTTTTTGATGCGTCTGAGAATCAGCTCGCCGCCTTTGTCTGTCTCAGGTCGGCGTCGGCGACGTCTCCGAGGATCCTGACCTCCATCAGAGAGCTGTTTGAGTGAGTCTCAGTTTCTGTTGGTCGTCCTGTCGCCAACTATCTGTTTATTTTACAGTGTGTGAAAGTCATGTGACATGTGTGATGTCAGCAGGAAGAGGCGGGGCCACTCTGTCTGCAGTCTGGAGGAGGATCTGATGTGTCCCGTGGGAATCTGTCTGTCGGCCAGAGTCCCCGCCAGAGCGCTGCAAGTACTGGTAATACACACCAAGTACACACCAAGTACACACCAAGTACACACCCAGTACACACCAAGTACACACCCAGTATACACCAAGTACACACCAAGTACACACCAAGTACACACCCAGTACACACCCAGTACACACCTAGTACACACCCAGTATACACCAAGTACACACCAAGTACACACCAAGTACACA